TAAGTGTGTATAACTGACTGTATGTGTGTATCTGGCTGTGTGTGTGTAAGTGTATGCATCTGGCTGTGTGTGTGTGTCAGTGTATGTATCTAGCTGCGTGTGTGTGTGTGTGTGTGTAGTGTGTGTATCTGGCTGTGTGTGTGTCAGTGTATGTATCTGGCTGTGTGTCTCAGTGTGTGTTAGAATTCCATTTTTAAACACTCTTTTCAGTTCACTGTCAGAACCCTGGTCTAAGAAAGTAAGTCCTCTCAAGATGGTATCCACACCCCACTAAATAAACTCATATTGACCAGTCTCCCTGCATTGTGTGCTTCAGAGGATGTGGGTTGAGAGGATTTACCTCCCTGCCTGTATTCATGCACTTTGCTTAAGCCAATTTTCAAAAAGGCTTTGAGCAAATGCTTTAAACTACAGCTCTCTCTTGACCCTTGCATGGCCTTACTGCGACATCCAAACTCTAAAAGTGGCTAGTGCCATCTTAACCCCTTAAGGACGGAGCCAAATGTACACATTGTACACGAAACAAAATGTAAACAAAACCTGGTATTTGCGCTACATGTCTCTCCAACCGTAATTCACCTCTTTCATATTAAATGCACCCACCCTTATTATATATAATTTTATTCAGGGGAAACAGGGTTTTCATTTAATATTAAATATTTAGCTATGAAACATAATTTAATATGAAAAAAATGGGAGAAAATAAGATTTTTTTAAATTATTTTAGTTCTACATGACATTTTAACTGTCAATGTCATAATACTGTTTGCTTTTACTGCAATAAAATACACATATTTGTATTCAGCAAAGTCTCACATGTAAAACAGTACCCCCTATGTACAGGTTTTATGGCGTTTTGGGAAGTTACAGGGTCAAATATAGCACGTTACATTTGAAATTGAAATTGCCAGATTGGTTACGTTGCCTTTGGGACTTTATAGCAGCCCAGGAATGATATTTACACCCATAATGGCATACCATTTGCAATAGTAGACAACCCAAGGTATTGCAAATGTGGTATGTCCAGTCTTTTTTAGTAGCCATTTGGTCACAAACACTGGCCAAAGTTAGCGTTAGTATTTGTTTGTGTGTGAAAAATGCAAAAACCGCCAATTTTGGCCATTGTTTGTGACTAAGTGGCTACTAAAAAAGACTGTCACCCCTAACTAAGTCCCCTTACACCCATCACCAAGTCCCCTGTTACCCCTAAGTCCCCTGTCACCCACCAAGTCCCCTGTCACCCCTCACCAAGTCCCTTGTCACTAATGCTATATACACCCCAACCCTGTGATACTCACCTCCCCAAACAAGCCGCATTCACCCTGTCACATAAACAATTTAATCCTGTCACACTTACCTCCCCTCACCCTGTAACACACCCTCCTCCAACCATGTCACAGTTGCCCTCCCTCATTTTCACACTCATCCCCCAACCCTATCTCATTCAACCCCTGTCAAACTCACCTTGCCACAGTTTTCCCTTTTCACCCTGCCACAGTCACCATTGAAGACAATTGACATACACAAAGTTATAAAACATAGCTTCACATAAGACAAAATGCACAAAGGCCACAGTCCATATACAAAAAACACAGGAAGCAGCTACCACAAACACACAATACAATACATAGGGAAACACGTATATGATAATATACATGTTAAGGAATTTAGAATATGTGGGGAAATGTCTATGACATTTTATTCTTACCTCTAACTTTATTATTTAGAAAATGATTTTTTTTAAAGCCAAACCAAAAATTTAATTTTTTCAAATAACCCCTTCACACTGGCACTTATGTATACACGACTGCCAGGCCATACAACCATACCCAGCAATCATATATAAATGATTATGTGCTCACAACGCAGCGGCATAGGGAGCTGCGGCAATTTTTTTCACTAATGGTGTAAATGGGGGGCCTCATGTTTGACTTTCGCCTAAGGCCTTGCAAAGTCTAGAGCCGCCTCTGACGCTGAATACACACACACACACAGACTGCTGACTACATACACACAATTTGCGGAATACACACCGGATGCTGAATACACACATACAGTTGCAAGAAAAAGTATGTGAACCCTTTGGAATGATATGGATTTCTGCACAAATTGGTCATAAAATGTGATCTGATCATCATCTAAGTCACAACAATAGACAATCACAGTCTGCTTAAACTAATAACACACAAAGAATGAAATGTTGCCATGTTTTTATTGAACACACCATGTAAACATTCACAGTGCAGGTGGAAAAAGTATGTGAACCCCTAGACTAATGACATCTCCAATAGCTAATTGGAGTGAGATGTCAGCCAACTGGAGTCCAATCAATGAGATGAGATTGGAGGTGTTGGTTACAGCTGCCCTGCCCTATAAAAACACACACCAGTTCTGGGTTTGCTTTTCACAAGAAGCATTGCCTGATGTGAATGATGCCTCGCACAAAAGAGCTCTCAGAAGACCTATGATTAAGAATTGTTGACTTGCATAAAGCTGGAAAGGGTTATAAAAGTATCTCCAAAAGCATTGCTGTTCATCAGTCCACGGTAAGACAAATTGTCTATAAATGGAGAAAGTTCACTCCCTAGGAGTGGCCGTCCTGTAAAGCTAAAGACTTACAAAAGTCACTGGCAAATGCTAACATCCCTGTTAGCGAATCCACAATACATAAAACACTAAAAAAGAATGGATTTCGTTTATAGGATACCACAGAGGAAGCCACTGCTGTCCAAACAAAACATTGCTGCACGTTTACAGTTTGCACAAGAGCACCTGGATGTTCCACAGCACTACTTGCAAAATATTCTGTGGACAGATGAAACCAAAGTTGAGTTGTTTGGAAGAAACACACAACACTATGTGTGGCGAAAAAAAGGCACAGCACACCAACATCAAAACCTCATCCCAACTGTGAAGTATGGTGGTGGGGGCATCAAGGTTTGGGGCTGCTTTGCTGCGTCAGGGCCTGTACTGATTGCTATCATCGAAGGAAAAATTAATTCCCAAGTTTATCAAGACATTTTGCAGGAGAACTTAAGGCCACCTGTCTACTAGCTGAAGCTCAACAGAAGATGGGTGTTGCAAAAGGACAATGACCCAAAGCATGGAAGTAATGAGATGCTGTGGAATGACCTCAGGAAAGCGATTCACACCAGACATCCCAAGAATATTGGTGAACTGAAACAGTTCTGTAAAGAGGAATGGTCAAGAATTACTCCTGACCGTTGTGCACATCTGATCTGCAACTACAGGAAACGTTTGGTTGAAGTTATTGCTGCCAAAGGAGGTTCAATCAGTTATTAAATCCAAGGGTTCACGTACCTTTTCCACCTGCACTGTGAATGTCTACATGCTGTGTTCAATAAAAACATGGCAACATTTCATTCTTTGTGTGTTATTAGTTTAAGCAGACTGTGATTGTCTATTGTTGTGACTTAGATGATGATGAGATCACATTTTATGACCAATTTGTGCAGAAATCCATATCATTCCAAAGGGTTCACATACTTTTTTTTGTAACTGTACTGCAGTGAAAGGTGCAGTGTATGTGTTTGTGTGCGCGGGTGCTGTGTGTGAGTGTGAGGGATGCTGTGTGTGTGAAAGTTGCTGAGTGTGTGTGTGGGGGGGTGCTGTGTGTGTGAGAGGTGCAGTGTGTTAGGGTGCTGTGTGTGTGTGAGGGGTGCTATGTGTGTGTTGCAGAGTTTGAGGGGTGCAGGGAGCAAATTATTTTTTTAATAATACTATACATGAATAAAGTCTTCATCCCCCCCACTCTTCTTCTTACCTTTGGTGAAGGAGGGGGGGGGACACAGCCAGCCCTGGTGGTCCGGTGGTGAGTAGTAGATCTATAGCCTGCAGCTCCTCTCGCTGCAGGCTGTCTTCACTCCTCCCACTTGCAGAATGCTGTATTGGAGCGGTGCCATGGTAACGTGCGGCAACGATCCACACAGCCTCCCAGGTCACTCCTCCCTCTCTTCTCAATCGAAGGGCTTTTGGGCCGGTCAGTGGCAGATCCAGGGGGGTGGGGGGCAATGGGGAAGGGCGGTGCTATACAAGCGCCGACCCTGCTATGTGCCTTCATAGACCGGTAGGGAGATCACAGATCTCCCTCACCTGTCTACGGGCACTTTGCTGGCAGCCAGCAGGAAGGGAGAGAGCACGGAGCGTTGACGCGGCTACCATGGCTCCGAATAACGCTAGAATTAACTTTATCCTCAGGAGCAGCAGACTAGAGTTCACTCCCCACTTGGGCTGCCAGGGATCCACCACTAGGACCACCAGGAATTGCAGGAAATATCTCCCCTCCCTCAGTAAAGGTAAGAAGGGAGGGGGGATATAAAGTACAAGTATTGTTTTAATTAAAAATATATTTTTATACTTGCTTTAAGCTACACATTCTCACACACTGTCCCCTCCCCCCAAAACACACAGTGCCTCCCCACACACACACACACACACACACTACCCCCATACACACTGCCCCCCTCACACACACACTGCCCCCTCACACACACACATACTGCCCCTCCACACACATATTGCCCCCATACACACACTGCACCCCCATGCACACATTGCACCCCTGACACCCACCCACTGCCCTCCATACACACACTGCCCTCCATACACACACTGCACTCCTCACACAAACACACTGCATCTCTCACTCACACATTGCATCTCTCTCACACTGCATCTCTCTCACACACATTTCTCCTGTATATGCCATTCTCTCTACCAGAGAATGCCAAACAGATGCCAAAATGTGACACATATTCACTATGGAAAAACTACGCCAGTTGTGCACAGTATCCTTGGAAATGCCTGCAAAACCTGGACCCTTTACTTGGATGCTTTTTTTTGCATCTGACATGATTGTTGCTGCGCTGACATTGTGAGGTAGATGATCCCTAGGGGATTCTGTTATTTAATTTCTTAAAAATTGATACATTCTTAATTTTAAAAGAAGGCTCTGTTAGACCATTTTTAAAGAAACCGTTACAACTTACTGTACAATTCCTCCCCTTCACCAACCAACCACTATCTAACTTCAGATAACATGCACTCACACAGTTTACAATCCCTGTACTTATTCTGCGTCTATTTGTCACATCTCATACGTAGATTTATTTATTTAGTCGGATACATATTGCACACTTGACAATCTCTTTTCTTCTGAATACATAGTTCATTAGCTAATGTATTCTTACTACCCCCTTCCTGTAAACTGTAAAATTCTCTGAACAGGATCCTCTTTTGTTTTTATTTTCACCTTAAAGGGACATTATAGCATTTGGAATACATTGCTAACAATATAATGTCCATAGCTCTTCATAAAGAATGGCCTCCACCACCAACGTTCAATACAATATTCCTCATTAGATACCTAATGTGCATGTGCAGCAAGTTCTGCACATGCATTCAAATTTCACCATAGGAAAGCTGAGTCAGTGCAGTGGAAATTCCTTGAGTGGCTGCCATACTGACAGCCACTAGAGGTGAACTTAACCCTGCAATGTAAACTTGTAAATTTCCCAAAAAAAATTTAGTGTTTTGCATTGCAGGGTTAAGGGGACAGGTATAATGCACCCAGACCCTTTCAATGAGAAGAAGTGGTGGGTGACTTTAGGGTCCCTTTGAATTGTTTTAGATATATATGTATAGATATAGATATATATAAACAAAAAGATATCCAGGATGCACACTCAGGACTTGAACAAAAATAATATAATTTATTTAAATTATGTGCAAGACAAAAAAAACAAAGTTTCGACCTCTGCGGGTCTTTTTCAAAGTTACTGTGACATCTGAAACATTAAATTTATATATATATAAAGTGTAAGTGCACTTTCCAATCAATTTCGTTGTGAATTCCTTCACCGATACCCGGAAGTGTATTAGGACCGCCTACATGACGTCATCGCGTGTGGACGTCCGGCGGAATAGAAACGTGATCGCTATGGAAACCTACCAAGCTAATGAGTAGGATCGTAATCCTGTGCTGGAGAGTGAACGAAGGGTTGTGGTGGAAAGACATCAAGACAAAAGATCCATGGTATGCATGGAAAATGGGCAAAGTCATGCCTAAATGAGTCACACATGCCTAAAAGCCACTATAAAATGAGAAGAGTGTTCTAAACAGTGAAGCTATCTACAAAAAAAGTGATCAAGTGAAAAAAATACTGGTGAATGAACAAAGGGGCGAATAGGTACAGTGACAGGCTATGTATATGAGTACCAAAAATATAAGTCATGCTAAATGCATAATATAATAATGGAATCTCAAACATTGTTTTGGAATAAACATAATAAACCTATGTCATATTAATACATGTCAATACAAATGGAGCCCTATACTTTAACAGCACATGAATACTATATACAACACTAAGTTTGCCGAGACTCAAAATAAAAATAAATAGAAAAATAGAAATAAAAAATAAATAAATAAAAAATAATGAATAATACAAATTCTATGTAGCTCCACAACAAATAAACGTCTGTGACCTACTCATATGGATGCACGCTGCATAACAAGCAATTTTAAGTATATGAATTCTCTATACTGTAGAGCAAAATAATAGTAATGATGTAATTGTCAAACGGACTAAAAGTATAGTACTTATTTGTGTGATATATCACGTGTACTGCACAGCAGAATATTATTGCATTTGTTCTGTTGAGTAGAATCATTCCCTTAAGGCTTTTTGCAGTAAACACTATCTTTTTAGGGACAATGCAGTGTTTACATTACAGCCTAGTAATAATTCCACTGGCCACTCCTCAGATGACTACTAGAAGTGCTTCCTGGGTCAGCGCTGAACACTGTGCAGTATTGCCATTCAGTGTCTCCACTCTCTGCATGCAGACACTGAACTTTCCTCATAGAGATTCATTGATTCAATACAGAAACTAGAAAAAGGAAAAGAACAAAAACACTACCAATAGGTGTCTCTAAATAAATATGGTGTAGAGATTGTAATTGTGGTTATCACAGATGAGGTTGTCACCAAACAAAATAAATAAATAAAGTAAAACTTCACTTTTAATAGATAATTTTAAAAGCCATTTAAATTAAGATTCCTTTTTCTAGTTTCTCAATTTAACCATTTAGGGGGTTACCCCCCATTTTCACACTATCTACCATTTTTTGTCTCATCTCATTATATAGGCTCCTTTTTTTCTATTAATTCATTGATTCAATACATCTCTATGCGGAGATGCTGATTGGCCAGGGCTGTGTTTGACTTGTGCTGGCTCTGCCCCTAATCTGCCTCCTTGACAATCTCAGCCCGTCCTATCGGGAAGCATTGTGATTGGATCAGTCCACAAACATCTGATGATGATGGCGGACAGCAGGAAGATCAGAGGCAGAGTCAGCACTGACTGAGCACCAGAACTGCGAGGGCACACTGATATTGGTACAGACAATGAAACTCCTCAATTGGACCACCATAGATCCACTGGACCACAAGGAAAGGTAAGCAGGAGGAAGGGGGAGCATACATACCCAGACACACCATACAGGCACACTCAGACTCACCTACACATAACACTCAGCCACACTCAGACTCCACACAGACACACTCAGCCTCTCCCCATACAGCTCTCATCCTCCTCCACACACAACACCCAGCCACTACTCACACACAATACTCAGTCAACACACACCACTCTTAAAAATAGAGCCCAAGAATTTAGGAGGGGGCCCCAATCTGGCACCCTGCCTAGGGCTCTGGGCAATCTTAATTGAATTCTGCTTGGTATGCAGCCTGGAGAGAGAAAGATGTACATGCAATGAGTATAGCATAAAGTGAATTTTCCTCAGTCATATAATGACAAAGGATGTTGGTCCGTAAGAGAAGTAGAAGCAGCAGGAGCTCTTGCACAATGTGTAAAGTTAACTTTAAAGGGCTACTCCAACCACCTTGACCACATCTGCTATTAGAAGTGACCATGGTGGTAGAAGTCTGTATGTGCAGCCTTTCAGATTGCAACATTGCACATTCAGAAATATTTGCACGTATTTCCTGGCAGCTAGTTGTATCTCCAACGCACATGACTTATGCAGCCCAGAACTCCTGAAACAGTGCAAATAGAAAATATTAATTAACAATCACTATATAATTACCAGCTTTATAGAAGATATTCTCATATATGGAGGAGAGAAAGAGAAAAAAAAAGAAAATAATTAAAAACAATTGTTCAATATTTATTATAAAAATACTTAAAAACAAACAATCACAATAAGCAATGGTACATTGAATAGATTTAAAATGTGCAACAAACACTTTATATAGCCTCGATAGGCTTACTCCCTCATAATGTAGCAGCCACAGTTCTCTATCTTACTAGCACATTACGTGTGGTAGTGCAAGTTATAAATAGCAAATTGCCGCAAAAGTGCAAAAAGTCACTTGATACTTAAAGTCCTTTCATTGGGGTCTTCTTGTTCGTGCTCTACTCGTTTCGTTGACTTCCTCAGGAGTTTCTATCTTCCTTCCTGGTCTTTGGCTTTTAAATCACCAGTGCACGTGAATTTCTCGGCATCTGGCATGTTGATGAACTCTTCTTCGTGGCTTACTTGTGGTGTTTGCAGAACTGTAGATGGAGATGCTATCTGCCATTAGTTTTCAGCATTGCACAGTGTTGTTTCATCTTAATTTTTCAATTGTTTTTCTCTTAATAGTACCGAGCGATTTAAATATAGTTTGTCTAGCACGTTATCTACTCTTTGTATAGAAAAAAATAGTTATGGCGCACTCAGACTTCTAAAAATACATAACTAAGAAGGCTACTATAAAACTTTTAAGAGAATAAACATGGAGATTTTGTTCCACCATATGGCCATATGATGTTAAGCCCACCACTGCTTCAAAGTACACCAATGTTAGTGGGTCCTACGCTAATTACAAAATGTGGGAGACAAATTAAATAGTACTGGTGCTAACAACAAGCTACAGTGTATTAAATTAATTTCTTTGTAAGAGCAAAGTGAGTATACAAAAATAAAGAGTCATAAAAGCAATTAAAAACAGCGTAACAACTAAACAATTAAAGAGTTGGTGCTTGAATGAGTATACTCACATTTGCAGATAATATCTGTGCTGCATTAAGAAAATAATAAAAGTGACATGACTATAAAACTCCTATTTATACACACACCTGTGGCCACTTTTAAAGAGACCTCAGAAGCTGGGGGGCCTGGGCGGGGTGCTTAACCACAAAGGAATCTGGTCTGGATTCCAAATATGCTTGCGCAGAGAAGAGATTGGGGGCACACCCGAGAGATGCATTATGCAAGAAAGGTGCTGCCGCAGTGACCAAAATTCATACAGAAAAAAAATAGTTACGGCGCACTCAGACTTCTAAAAATACATAACTGAGACGGCTACTATAAAACACCTATCTAAGAGAATAAATATAGGGTTTTTTTTTCTTCTGAGGCCTCTTTAGAGGTGGTCACAGGTGTGTGTATAAATAGGAGTTTTATAGTCATGTCACTTTTATTATTTTCTTCATGCAGCACAGATATTATCTGCAAATGTGAGTATACATATGGTGGAACTAAATCCCCATATTTATTATCTTAGATATTTTATAGTAGCCTTCTTAGTTATGTATTTTTAGAAGTCTGAGTGTGCCAAAACTATTTTTTTTCCTGTATGAATTTTGGTCACTGCAGCAGCACCTTTCTTGCATAATGCATCTCTCGGGTGTGCCCCCAATCTCTTCTCTGTACTTTCTCTTTGTATAACCTGTGGCCATGCAGTGACACACTTTGCTTTTCTTTCTCTTTATTTAAGATATACATGAGAAGCCGTTATTTTTCCGTTATTGGGATTTCAGCAGGCATACCCCTCAGATAGCATATTCCAGTTCTAGTTTTCATGTATGGCATAATCACTAACCTGTCACATCATGATGCACTACATTCTAATGCATGGGACTCCTGTCCCTGCTTCCAAAAATACCATCTTATCTCATGTGGCTTCTATGATCATAATTCTATGCAGTTAACGTTGTTTTTCATACCTTGCTATTAAGACTAACCATACCATCAGGTTACATAGTCTGCTTTAATTATTACTCATGACAATCCAACTTCTGTTGTAGGTAGAGCATGTTGAGCATGTCTATTATACCAAAATTGTGCTGTTTTATCAAGTGACATTGTATACTTTGATATTTTTACATGAGCTTGTCTCTGCTGTTGTGGCACCACAAGCATGTTTGTAACTCCGAGCACCAAACAATAAAGATTGATTAAAAAAAACTGTCTCTCAGTTACAACATTTTGAACAATGGAGATACGGAATCCAGGGACAGATACATGTTGGCTTGGCAAACCGACCTAAACTGCACATTTGATTCTACTAAATGGCATAATTCCTTTACGGCACACAAGAGCAGAACAACATGTGCAGCCCATTTAGCACTGATGTGTAAACTATATTTTCGGTGGTATATTTTGCCTGACAGACTGTCAAGCATTTGCCCACACTCCTGCAACAGATGCTGAAGGTGCTGGGCAGACAAAGGGACGGTGTACCACTTGATGGGCGTGTACCAAATTTAAACTATATTGGCAGATGGTTGAGAAAATTATCTCAGATATAATGCACTGACACTTCACACTCAAACCTGAAGTTGACCTATTCATTACATTCGGGGAATTTAACAAAATAGACTCTATTTTACTTTTCTAAATACTTACTGCGGCTATCAAGTTAAAAGCCAGAGCGTGGAAATCCACAGAATCACCACTTGTCTTAGACACTTTTTACTACATCAAATTTCTTGATTATAAGTATATGACACACAAACATATCAGTCTAAACAAGGGTGCTTTTTAGGCATGGACCAGGTGGGAAGCCTGTTTACAGGCAGACAAGACTCAACCAGGTGGCGCTTAAACAATATCATTACTAAACAATATCATTACAATATCATTACTCTATAATTTACTTCTTAACCCAACATTGCTCTAACATCATTATCTCTGCGACACATATACTTAACAACACAGACAAATTTGATACTCCCATCGGAATACCAAGAAACACATAAGTGGACCCTGCCTCACTCTACACTAACGGCAAAATGCATCACACTAATATACTTCCCTACTCATGATCCTGAACAAAGAAACTCTCTTTCTTAAACAGCATCATCCACTTTGTATATACCATACAGTAACTTAGTTCTATGAAGTGAGAGCAATGACAGACCGTCTGAGAGGTACTATTGGAAAATAAATACCCAACACCAATCCGTTAGATATATATTCCACTATATACAACATATGCAGTAGTATGGACACCCACGACAACGAAGTCCATGAAAGACTTACATACGTTATCAAAGCTGCCAACCGAGTATTTTTTCATGTTACAATGTAAATGCTATGTATCTTCTGTTGTATGTTATTAACACTTCTCTCATTGTACAACAGCGATTTCAACTCCAACAGTACAAAAAGTACAAAACGACGACAGTCCAATGCGTCGAGGAAGACGCTGTGATGCCTCTCGGACTCACTGCCTTCAATGTGCTTTTATTTTGCATGTCATTGTATTGCTGTGTGTTATTGTATTCTCACGTGCTTGCATGCACATTGTTATATTTACTTGTTAAATTAGCAAATTTCCATTTGAAAAAAGGATTGGAGTAACCATCTGAGTTATTTTGTAGCCAGCCAGTCCACTCAAGTTTTATTTCCCTTTCTTTTCTCCCAAGTTTTCACTCTCCATTCCTTCTGCAAAACATTTTAGAATATAAGAATGTAAGGAGTTAACAAAAAACTTTTAAAACATTTTTTTCAGGATTGATGGGTCTATTCCACGTTCATGGGCCCAGAGCTGTACACACACACATGCGCGCCCCAAAAACACACAGCCACCAAACATGTTTGAACAATGACATGATATTTTACTATGACAGTACACAAGTATTTACATATTACAACTATTTACACACACTATTAACACAAAGTCTCATGCACATACCTTGACACACAGATACGGACACATACATTGTCACATACACACACAGATACGGACACTGACACACAGATATGAACACTGACGTACACACACACACTGGCACATACACACACACACTCAGATACACACTGACATACAGATACACACACGCTCATATACATACAGATACACAGACTGGTATATACACATACTTAGATACACTCATTGGCACATACACACACTTAGATACATACAGATAAACGCACTGGCACATACACACTCACTCATATACATAGTGACACACAGATACACACACTTGCACATATACACACACAGTCAGATACACACACACACACACTTAGATACACTCACTTATGTACATACACACACAGGCACATACACTCACTCAGATACACACACTTGAACATCTACACACATACACACACACACACTCAGATATACACCAACACACACAAGGCATAATAATTTGCTCTGCAGCCACCCTTAGCTTACCTTGTGTCCTGGCTGAGGCTGATGGGAGTGAGCATGTAGCTGCACACTCCAGCCTCTTCTCTGCCTCCACACTGCCTGTGTGCTCCAGCTTCCTCCAGCCTCCTCCCTCCCATGCGGCTGTCTTCTTAGCTGGGAGGAAGTGACAGGCTGTTTATCACTTCCTCCAAGCTGGCAGATACTGTTCAGAAATAATATTAATGGGGGGGTGAGGGGGGGAAGGTTATCAATATATGCTAAATGCCCTTAATTTATTGAGGACATTTAGTATATATAAAATCCTGGAAATCACACACACATTATGATATATATTGTATGTCAGATTGTGTGTGTGATTTCCGGGATATTGTTTGAGTATTGAGGGTGTCAGGCAGTCACACATATGGGCGTCTCCCGGATCCACTGGGAGACTTGGGATGTCTGCCCTGATTACAAAACCATGTTCGCTTAGCTAGCTCCTGATAAGCATGCTGAGTCCAGTTTCACTACCAAAATCCCGCCAAATAGTCACTCACAACATATTTAAGAGAAGCTGAAGTAGCACATTGGGGGTTGTAATGCATGTGATGTGAGTTGCAATAATGATTCCTATCCCCTGGTGACCATTGCTGACAGAAAAAAAAATATTGTTAATCCCATCCTAACTAGCAATGGCTAGAGCAAGAGTTATGTTTTTTTTGTCAGGACATAGCTCTAGAGTAAGTGCATAAAAAATAAAAGAAAGGATGTGGTGACAGGGCATACACTACTTTCAAAGAAACAATAAGGAACTGAACTCTATCCCATAACCCTGAGCCAGGATGCGACCAAAACCGAGACTCGGCACCAGGTCCAATAACCGTACACATAAAGTACAAAAAGGTTTAGGCTCTCCAAGGTTCAGAGACGGCAATTTATTGAAGGCCAATGCCACACAACGTTTTGACCTACACGGTCTTTTGTCAAGCTGACAAAGCTTGTCAAAGACAGTGTAGGTTGAAACGTTGGGTGGCATTGGGGTTCAATAAATTGCCGTTTCTGAACCTTGGAGAGCCTAAACCTTTTTGTACTTTGTGCATACACTACTGGCACACAATGTAAGTTGAAAAAGTTCCATAATTCCTAGCAAACATCCAGGATATCATGGATATCATTCTCAATACAGCATGCAATGCAGAGCATCTCAGCAACTGAGACAGAGCTTTTTTTGCACTGTTCTTACTTCCCCTGCACTTCACACTACTACATTTTTGGTAGAAACTTCACAAACCTCCAATTGGGCTTCAAAGCTCAAAGGGAATCTGGTCTGGATTCTAAACGTACATAGTAAAAACAAAAGGGAATTGGGGGCACACCCAGAACATGCATCTTGCAGGAATAGTGTCCCCCAGCTTCAGAGTACCCTCGGGGTGACCAGAGGTATATAATTGAGGAGGTTTTGGATAGTAATGTTACTTTTAATTATAATTTTTATTGAGCAGCTATATAATTTGCATTGTGAGTAGGTACATCAAAGCACTATCACTTTCATTGTTGATTTTGGCACTGAATTTTTTAAATTGCATTTATCACTTTAATTTTGCATTATATATATTCACAGTGCTCTTACAAATAGATTATTTAATTACACGTCAGCTTATTTAGCACTAGCACTATTTGATTTGTCTCCCGTGTTGGAATAAGTGTAGGACCCACCAATATTGGGGTACTGTGAAGTAATGCTTGGCTTAACACAATATGGCCATATGGTGGAACTGAATCCCCATATTTGTTTGCTGAGATAGGTGCGGTTAAGTATCCTTATAGAATTTTGAAATATATTTTATGAGTGCGCTATTCCTTAATCTGTAGTATGTATAAATTCTGGTCACTACATAGCACCATTCCTTCAAGATGCACGGCCCAATTACCTTTTTTCTTTTTCTTTTGTAGTGCAGTGGAATATACACTGCAAAATGATGGAATACAGGCTTAGAGTTAGAGAACAAAATGTCAAGAGGAACTGCACATTTTGTTTTAGAGAAGGTATGTATGTCAAGCAGTAACAATCATGCTAGGCAGACATGTAATGAATTAGTAAGTAGCAAGCTGGTTTCAAGAAGAAAAATCTCAGGTTGACAGCATAGCACTTTTACACTATCCCAACGTATTCATATGCAGGTATACACCAAAATAAATTTTAAAAAATAGGAGAGAATTGGTGGTGCTTGGTTTAGTATTACGTAATGTGCTGCTGAACAAGGGGGGGTATCAGTTAGTATACCGTCAGACTCAGCCTATTCCCTTGGGTGGCGAGATGTTTGCACCGCTCAAAGGAACTTGGTGCCAGGGTTGGGTGCCTCTCCAGCCCCAGGACTTGATGAGGACAGGCATCGGTTTCCAGTGCAGATCGAGACTATACCCTGTTGAGGGTGGTCGGAGCATCGGGGTGACAAGCGCTGCTTAACTTGGACAATCCTCCGCCTTGCTGGACGATACAGGGCATACAAGCCCCCTGTGGCCCTCCGCCTAGGTGAGTGAAGAACAGGATGCACAGGTTTTCTCCGAAGCTTTTCACCGCGAGTAAGCCCCTTTGTCTCTGGCCGCTTATCTCCCAAGGCTCTGCTCCCTTGTTCGGCTTTAGTAGTTGCCATACGTTGCTGGAGTGTGAGCCAGAAGTGTCGGAAATGGCGGTCGAGCCGCA